GCTCTGGGGCTCCGGCCCGCTCCAGCTGGCACCCGGCGCCCCTCCGCGACGCGGCCCCGCCCGTTACCTGCAGCGACATGACGACCAGCCGCCACCTGCCCCCTCGACGCTCTGGCCGCCGCCCCCCTCCGGCCGCTCCTTAAAGGGCCGCGCGCTCCTCCCCATCGGCCGCTCCCATTGGCTGCGCTCCGGGCCGGGCGGCTCTCATTGGCAGAGAGCGGCGGGGCGGGGCTGGGACGCCTCCGCGGGGTGGGGGTGGGGGTGGGGCGTGATGGGGGTGGCCCGCGGCGGACTGAGCGCCTCCAGGTCGTTCGCGCTGCCGGGTGCTCCTACTCCCTGATGCCTCCACCCGCTGGAAGTAATATACCGGGGACCGGCGCTCAGCTATTGGGATAGCGGTGGACAGTGCAGTGCCTTGTTAAAAAAAGGTTTATTGCGGCTGGGGATTTAGCTCAGCGGCACAGCACCTGCCTGGCAAGCGCGGGGTCGTGAGTTCGATTCCCGGTACCGGAAGACAAAACAAACAAAAAGGCTTATTAAATATACATTACAGATAAATCTCATAGATGCATATCTATGTAAAATTAGGAAAGTAAAAGGCACATCTCTGAACCCAATGTATGTGCTAGTTTAATAAAATTCTGTCTTTAGCCTTTTTTTTTTTTTTTAATGTCTTTTTGGGATAGGGTCTTGGTATGCAGTTCAGGCTGGCCTTGAGCTCACTTTGTAGCCCAGGCTGGTCTCGAACTCGCAGCGGTCCTCCTATCTCAGCCTCCTGAGTGCTGGGATTACAGGTGTGCTCTACCACACCCGGCTCTACCTTCAGTTTTGAGGCCCTTTTGTGGTTCTTTGGATTTTTTGGGACTGGAGAGACAGGGTCTCGCTTCATAGTCCAGGTTGGCCTCAAGCTGGTGATCCTCCTGCCTCAGCACCCTGAGTACTGGGATTACAGGCCAGTGCCACCACGCTGATGGAAGCCCTGTGATTCTCCTGATTCCCTTTCATCTTAACTTTCACATCCATCCTTTCAAGTATTTGCTGAGTGCTTACTGTGAGCAAGGCACTGTGCACTCTCCGCGTCAGCTGTAAGAAGTGCAGCTTGGCGCGCCTGTCTTCTTTCTCTTCTTCCTCCTCCTCTTCTTCGTCTGTCTTCATCTTCTTTGTTGTCTTCCTCGTCTTCTTCATCATCTTTGTTCCCCTCTCCTCCTTCTTTCTCCCGCTGCCTCTCCCCCTCCCGCCCTTCTCCCCCCCTTCTGCCACTGGGGGTTGAATCTGGCAAACAATGAGCTACACCCCCACCCCTTTGTATTTTTGTTTTTGAGACAGCGTCTCACTAAGTTGCCCAGGCTGGCCTTGAACTTGCGGACTTAGTCTCTCAGCATCTGACATCGCAGGCTTCGTGCAACTACATTGGGCTTCGTTTTCTTTATCACAGCCTCCACAGTCCCTGCGGGAGGTTTTAGTGCGTTCTTTGGTCTCTGCTTTTCAGGTTCACTCGGGGCCCCTTTGGCAAACCTGAAACAGGATGTGTGTATATGAACTTGAACTCACAGAAGCTCAGCCATGCCTGGTGCCAGAGGGAGAGGCTGAGGTCGCACCCCTGGCAGCCTCTGCCTGTCACACGCACCCAGATGGAATTTCCTTCGGACACACGCTGGGGCCACTGCCTGACAGGTGGAAGAGCCTCAGTAAATAATGTTGCACTAACAAAGTCGAATGTTATGTTTTTACCTGATTCATACACACAGACATATGTACACATTTCTATCTTTAACGACTTCTCAACTAATTCTGCTTTTTTTTTTTTTTTTTTTTTTTTTTTTTTTTTTTTTTTTTTTTTGTTTTTTCTCCGGTACCGGGAACCGAACTCACGACCTTGCACTTGCCAGGCAGGCGCTTTTGCCGCTGAGCTAAATCCCCAGCCCCTAATTCTGCTTACATTGCTTCTGAAGAGTTTGGACCCATCCAAAACAAAACAAAATAAAAAAATCAACAATAAGAAAACCTGTGTGGGCTGTTTGGAAGGCTGAGACAGAAACCTTTCTTGAACCCAGAAGTTTGAGGCCAGTCTGTACAACATAGCAAATTTCATCTCAAACAAATTACTTTCCTAAAATTTTTAGAGCCTGTTCACGTTAGGCCTCTTCCCTCAAAAAACAAACAAACAAACAAACAAACAAACAAAAAAAACTATAGATCTAAAATTGCTCTTTATATTCCACACTATTTTTGATATGAGAGAATATTGTTAATATCTCTTGATTTTTTTGCCAGAATGTCCATGGAGTTGGCTAATTTATATTCATTTTTTACTATGTATAGATCGCTAATATTTTTCATTTCTGTATCATTTAAACTTCATTGGAGTAAATTCACTAAATATTTTAAAAAATAAAATTGCTCTTTCAAAAATTTCCTGTTAGAACACCCCAGACTTGGGGCTGGGGATTTAGCTCAGTGGCATAGCGCCTGCCTGGCAAGTGCAAGGTTGTGAGTTCAATTCCCGGTACTGGAAAAAAGCCAAAAAAAAAACCATCCCAGACTAAACTCAGTCTTTCAAATATCTTTTTCAGTAGAACGGCACAAAAGAGCCCCAGACAACGTTGAACGTCTCCACACATGCCTGGACTTAGTCCCGCAGCATCTTAGGGCATCTCAGCATGTCAGCGTCTCAGCGGCAAAGCCCGACTGCAGACTGACCTGAGTTCTGAATCCCCTCCGGTATCTCCCGAGTCGAGGATTCTCAGCAGACTCGCAGGGTGCTTCTCATGCACGTCTGTAGTGTTGGTTGAGACTAGGGGTTTCCGCCTCCCAGCCCCTCCGCCTAGGCATGCCCAGCAGCTGCTGTGTTGTCTGTAGAACTGCACGCTGAAGTCCAGGGAGGTTCCTCAGCGCAGTGACTCCCCACTCATGGCATCTGTTACCCGACCTCTGGAATTAGGGATGTTGGCTCATGAGACGAAGGGTGCAGGGAGCTGACATCACGTTGGGCTTGGCTTTGCTTTGGTTTGGGTTGGGTCCCGTTAGGTTCTTTCTCCTTATTGGCCTTACCCGGGGAAGCATAGCATGGTCACCTTGCTACTGCCCAGGAGTTGCCTGGCTGCTTGAAACGTCCCTGTTCCCATTGCCTTGATGCACCAGATGTTCCCCGAGCTGCTGGGTACTCCGTCAGCAGAGCTTCCAATGGCACGGACCTGAAGCCTGTTCTCATTTGACACCTCACCATGCAAGTCTATTCTTAGCAACTGGTTAAAAACACCGATTGTTGTTCACATAACAATTGTTGACATATATATAAAAACACAGAGCAAGTGGAGGGAATGGAGGGAAGAAAAAGATCTGGCAGTCAATTCTACATTCTTCAGACTGTCTGGATGGAACTTTCATTTGTTTCATTAAAGGATTGCAGCTAGCGGCACAATTTACCATCCAGAATCTTAAACTGCTTTATATCATGGTGCAACAGCAAGCAGAAACACTGAAACGACACTCAGGATTTGGAGGCAGATTTATTTATGTCTATGGGTACTGATTGGGAACATTTCCAAAGTATGTTCCCCGAGGCTCAGGGAGGGAGGTTTTTATGGGGTTGCAAGCAAGAAGCAGAGGACTTGGCTGTCTTTGACTGATTCTTACAATATGCATCATAGTGACCAGCTGTGCATTACAGTGACCAGTCATTTCTAGGGAATAGTAGTAACAAGAACTGTAACAGGAACTATTACCTGGGCAACTGACAAACTGGCTGGGGGTGCACTTCTTGCTACAATGGTAAACATATAAATTTAGTAATAGTTCAACTGTAGAATACAAAAAGAAAGCTTTTCTAAGATTTTTAAGCTATTCAAAGTTCTCACAAGTTATTCAATGGCCTGATGCCTTATGTAAAATAATAGCTGTCATTTAAAAGTAAAACTGAGGCCGGGCATGGTGGTGCACACCTGTAATCCCAGCACTTGGGAGGCTGAGGCAGGAGGATCATTTCCAGTTTGAGACCAGCCTGGGCTACAAAGTGAGTTCAAGGCCAGCCTGAACTGCAGAGCGCCACCCTGTCTCAAAAAGACTAAAAACAAACAAACAAATAAATAAATAAATAAAATAAAAGTAAAACTGATCATTTGGAATAGAACGTGAAGGTGACCCTTGGAAGACTATGAGAAACACGGGAAAATTATGTAGAAAAAAAATAAGCACAAAATTTTATTATTTTTAGCATGCACACATATGAAACAAATTAGGAGGGAACTGAAAAGAAACATGTTTGGAGGTGATCAGGTCATGAATAACTTTTTAAAACTTTTTTTGTGGTAATGTTCATGTAACATGAATGGGAGAGTACCTTTGAAAAGTAGTTGTTCATTTTAGCACAATTCTTGTGAAAATCATATTGCTAGTCTAAAAATACAAGCACTGAAATCACAGAGTCTATTTAAATTTTATTAGCATGATTTTACCAGGATTGTCACTGGACTCATCACAATTTACCAAGGATTTATTATGTGTGCCAGGCACTGTGCTAAGCATCTTAAAGAGATCATACCTTCTAATCCTCAAAATAGAAACTATTTTTATCCCTTCACTAGGAAGATAGGGTCTTATGCTGACAAGTCATGACGCTGGGATCTCAACCAGGGCAGCCTGGCTCCAGAGCCCCCTAATGTAGGGAATGACAATCCCTAGAGAAAACGCAAGCTCAGATGATGGTCATTCTCTAAATCTGGGACGGTAGGGGGAAAACTTACACAAATTTCCTTCCCAGTACTCTAGTTTTATAATTAGACCCGTATGTCTCTGTCTTTAGAATTTCATGTTCAGTCCTTCTTCTTCTTTTTTTTTGTTTTTTGTTTTTCTTCTGGTACCAGGAATTGAACTCACGACCTTGCGCCTGCCAGGCAGGCGCTGTGCCGCTGAGCTAAATCCCCAGCCCCTAGCTCTTCTTCTTGAACTAATGATTCATTTTTTAAAACAAAAGCCTGTTGATACTGTGTTCTTTTTCATCTAGTTGTGATAAAAATCGCATTCTACCTCACCCTGTGTACCCTGCAATAATCACTGACCAAAAGCAACACGTTCTGTTTACATTATGACCAGTTAGTTACAAGGTAGGTGATGAAAATTAAAAATATAGAAACTAAGGGGCCAGGGATTCAGCTCAGTGGCGTAGCGCGGGCCTGGCTAGCATGAGGTCCTGAGTTCGATTCCTGGTACCCGCCCCCAAAAAAGAAAATATAGAAACTAGACCCCAAAATGGGAAGGAAAACGATGAGTACAGAGATTGAGAAAAGGAAGACATGGAGAAGAGGAAAAAAAGACCTCCAAATTGGACTGCAGAAGTGAAAGGGAGGGATGGGGCGGGAGAGGCAGCCCGCGAAGTTCCTGCGAAGACAGATCCGGATCCCTGGTCTTTCAAATGTCACTCGGCTCTCCTCCCAATTGAAGACGCCTTCGCGGGCTCCACGAGCTGGACCCCGACCGCAGACTGATGGGGTACTCCGTCCTCCCTCAGCGCACCCCGGTTCCCTCGTCTGTCAGAGGGCTCAGGATTCCTACACAATTCCTAGGAGTACGTGCTCGACTCAACTTCCTATCTAATCCCTCCCACTTTATTTGATTTTCACGACGGGCTTGGATTCTGGGTTTCTGCATAGAGAAGATGTTAGGACGCTACGGCTTAAGGGCAGAAACTAGGAGAGAGAAGACTCCTCCCCCGAGGAGTCTGGAAGCGACTCCAGACCACCAGAGGAGTCTGGAAGCGACTCCAGACTTCCCCGAGGAGTCTGGAAGCGACTCCAGACCACCAGACACGCGAGGTCGCGAGCTGTTACCGTGGCAACCGCAGCTTCTCGCGAGACAGATCTTGCGCCTGCGCACTGCAACTTTAGGCACTAAAGACCTTCAGCGCGAGTCTTTCACTCAAGGTTTTTAAAGGTGGGGCCTTGCCTTGCCTGTTCTGGGCAACGCTGTGGGCCAACTGCCCCCATAGGGGATGACCTAACGTAGAACAAAGAAACGCGGAGCGCTCCGAGTTACTCCGCCCCGCCCACCGCGTTTGGAAGGCGGGGCCGGGAC